AAGAAAATATTGTTGTAATGGTAACAGGTGCTAGAGAGAAAGGCAGACTACTTAGCTCATGTTTTACTTCTGCCTTTTCTAGGAAGGAAAATGATTTTCAAACTGAGAAATATAGAAATAACACCAGAAAGAATTAAAGCCAAGGTAGGTGAGAGAAGAGAGAGCAGATAGTCTATGTAAATAAGTTCAAGTTTCTAGGCTTTGACAATTTTTGTCTTTTAATATCAAACATGTAATTCTAGCAGATATACTTACAGAGCTATTTATTCTGAGAAAAATCACAGAGGGTGGAGAGGTATAAGGAAATTGAGGATGGGCAAATGTTATTCTGCCTTTCAAAAGAGTAGTGAAAAGACTAGATCTAGGTGTTATAAATGGAGATCAGCTGTAAAGTTCTGGAACAGATTATTTGATAATCAAGTTTACCTCATTTTCAATCACTTGAAGCATATGTTTGTTATGAACAGATTATTCCAGATTCATCTTAGCTTTCCCTCTTTGGTTATCGTTATTAGACGGGTAGATTTACTGTGGTCTTGCCTGCCACTTGTTTTTGTAAGTAGAGTTTTATTGGAACATGGTTATGCCTATTTGTTTCTGAATTGTCTATGACTGCTTTTATACTATAGTGGTAGAGTTCAGAACCTGCTACTGAGACCATATCATCCGCAGACCCCAAAATACTTACTGTCTGGCCCTTCACAGAAAAAGTTTGTCAGTTCCTGGATTAGAGGATTGACATAGACTACATATCTGATCTAAGCAGTGTATCTGAATATTTGCCATACTATTAATATGACAGATATAGGCTTTGATCTTATAATGGCCTGAATAACTATATGTAAAACATGGTTAATAAATGGATCATTTATCAACCTGGAGGGGAGTCTCTAGCATCATATCATAGGGATGTGTCCTTGTTTTTCTGGTCAGCATCTGACATCATGGTCAAAGCCATCTCAGAGGGCATACTTATTTTTGTAGATGACTCAATATAGTAGAGGACAGAACTAAGATTCATAGTTATTACCAAACCCAGGAAGATTAAATTCGGTTGTGGTAAGGATAAAGTTATACAAAGTGTTTTTCGGAACAGAGGCAACTGGGGAATTACCTGTTTGACAGTAGTCTATGCAAAAAAGACCTTAATAGAACCAGTCTGAACAAAGAGTGCTATTGGAAAAAGCAAAATGTACTATCATGTGTTACACATGTTGGCCAGATCCGCAGAATTAAGCCTCTTATTCTTCTGTCAAGCCATATCTGAAGCATTGTTTTTGGTTCTTGGTACCACAACATATCACAAGTGGTACCTTTACAAACTAGAGGAGGGCAGATAAGGTAATAAGTTATCTAGAAATCAGGGATATTGGAGGAATGGTTGAAACAGCTACAGATGTTTAGCTTAGAGAGAGGGAAATTTAGGGAGATGTAAATGATAGTTATCTTTAAATATTTGAAGTGGTGTGGAAGGAGGTATAGATTTGTGTTACAAAAAAGAATAATTTGGTTTGGTCGACATTGGAATAGGTTGCCATCTGAATTTTGCTGTCACTAGAAATTGTGCGGACTTGTTCAAGTGTAGCAGGAAATGCTGTGGGAGAAGGGACATCACACTAGATCCTTTTTTTTTTAAAGTCAGGGTCTTGCTGTATCACTCAGGCTGGAGGGCGGTGGCATAGGCACAGCTTATTACAGCCTTGCATTCGTAGGCTCAATGGATCCTCTTGCCTCAGCCCTCTGAGTAGCTGGAACACAGGCACGTGCCACTATACTCAGCTAATTTTTTTTTTTTAGTATTTTTTTTTTGTGTGTGTGTGTGTGTAGAAATGTCTCACTGTGTTGCTCGGGCTGGTCTCAAACTCCTGGTCTCAAGTGATCCTCCTACTTTGGCCTCCTAAAGCCCTGGGATTGTAGGCATGAGCCACCACGCCCAGCCTACACTACTTTAAAAAAACTGTGATTACATAATATAATTGAAATAAATGCAAAAGGAAGGTGAGAGGGAGAAATCACTGTAGATGGGAGTGAGCATGGAACACTTAGTGAAAGGATATCTAAGATTTATGTAGGTTAAGAAGATGGAAAGACACTTTCAGATGGGATTATGGCAGTGAGTGGTGTGGCAGAATGGGAAAGTCTTAAACGTTGGGAATTAAAGGGCAGGACAGGGGAGTGAAGGGAAAGATGAACTTTTCTACTCTGTATAAAGTTCCTTAAGTACCTAACACAGTGCTATGCATTCTCTAGACTATTCAGGCAGATGAGGATTTCAGAACCCTGAATTACCATTCTCAGGAGGGTGAGGTTTGCTTGCCCTGAATTAGAGTTCTCAGGAGGGTGAGTTTATAGGTGGAAAATATTAAGAGGCAGTGGCACTAAAGTAATTTTAACCTACATTCTAAACTACTTTCTTAGTTTAGTTGAAACATTCTCTAATTTTTGCTATTTGACTAACACATCTCTAGTTTATTATTTCTTTTTTTTTTTTTTTTT